GACAGTATATTAAAAAAAAATTTGGAGGGAAAGACCTCTCAATTGTTTAAGAAGAATTGAATTTTGATTATTTTTTTCTTCTTCCGCCACTATTATTTCTTGTGTGTATATTTTGTTTCGCAAGATGTCACTTTGATGTTTGGTATATGATATCGCACAGTTTATGCGCCTTTGAAATTGACCCCCATGAACCAAATACTTTTTTCTGTAGGAGTTATCTCTCCGAACACTATTTTCCTTGTTATTGCATCTCCTCCGTAATAGTAAAGAAAGCGACAAATTTATTTTAACAAATTGCTCGATCTATCCTCAGGGTTTTTTGTCCAGTTTTGACGGAAGCAATGCAAAGACTCCATATGAGAGTTATTTCCCCTTCTGTATTTGACATAAGTGATACATTAACGTATGGCATGAATGGTAAGTGATAAAGACCTAAGGTATATGTATTTAGGGTCTTTGGTTCATTAAAATGAAATTGAGGTCAAGGTAAAAGGTCAAGGTCATATTCTTAATTTGGACTTTTCCTTCTTTTATGATCTCCTTTGTCACTTTTAAAGATATATATAAAAGAACTAGTGCAAAATATTTGCCTTATTGTGATGAAGATATGATACATTTGGTCTGAAACTATCAGATGACATCTTATAGGAGTTATTGTCCTTGAAATGATTAAATTTAAGGTTAATTGATTATTACTCCAACTAGGTACATGATAAAACCATAGACTCTTTTGCAAATTGTTGGGTGACTTATGACCTTGAAAAATGTAAAACAGAAGTGACATTGAGTAAACCGGAAGTAGCTATTTTTGCACTTATTTCATGAAAAAGTACCTAGAAACTATATATTTTTTAAATACGTATATATAAACCTATCATTTGAGACCGGAAGTGACCTTCCATAAACCGGTAGTACTTAATTACTCCCTTATTTCAGACGAAAGTATATAGAAACCATATATTTTTTGAAATCAGTGTGAATATAGCTATCATGTGAGACTGGATGTGACATTTTTTAACCTGAAGTTGACAATTATCTCCCTTATTTCAGGCAAAAATATATAGAAACATATATTTATTGAATCAATATGAAGAAACATATGTTTGGACGCCAGTAGTACCTTTGAGTAAACCGGAAGTAGCTTCTCAGTAATAATTTAGAAAATTGACGTGAAAAGACCTTCAATTGTTCTCTGAGCAATTGGTTTTTAATTATTATTATTATCATTTAAATCATTATTATTATTATTATTAGTTCTTTCCACTTTTCTGTGGAAAGACCTATTGGTTTTGTTCTGATTATTATAATTTTTTTTCTTCTTCCGCGTCTTTTATTTCTTGCGTGTAAATTTTGTTTCGCAAGAAGTCGCTTTGATTTTTGGTATATAATTTAGTACGGTTAATCCGCCTTTGAAATTGACCTTGCATAACCGAATACTTTTCTCTGTAGGAGTTATCTCCCCGAACACTGTTTTCCTTGTTATTGCATCTCCTTCGTAACCGTAAAAGAAAGCGACAAATTTATTTTACCAAATTACTAATTATATCCTCAGGATTTTTTGTCCAAATGTTACCGAAGCGATACGAAGACTCCATATGAGAGTTATTTCCCCTTCTGTATTTGACATAAGTGATACATTAACGTATGGCATGAATGGTAAGTGATAGAGACCTAAGGTATATTGATTTGGAGTCCTTGGCCACCAAAAAAAAATTAAGGGTCAAGGTCAAAGGTCAAGATCATATTTTAAATTTGGACTTTTCCATGTTTTATGATCTCCTCTGTCACTTTTTAAGATAAATATAAAAGAACTAGTGCAAAATGTTTGCCTGATTGTGATGAATAAATGATACATTCGGTCTGAAACAATCCAATGGCATCTTATAGGAGTTATTGTCCCTGAAATGATTTAATTTAAGGTTAATTGATTATTAGTTTAAACAGTATCTATTAATGAAAAATTACAAGAAAAAATATTACAAAACAATGTTAGATAAAGTTCAAATATGGGATTCGGAAACAAGTTTGGAAAAACTTATATAAATCCGTCTTCCATAATTGATTATTACTCCAACGTGGTACATGATAAAGCCATAGGGTCTTTTGCAAACTGTTGGTTGACATATGACCTTGAAAAATATCAACCAGAAGTGACATTGAGTTAACCGGAAGTAGCTTTTTTTGCACTTATTTCATGGAAAAGTACCTAGAAACTATATTCTTTTTTAAATACGCATACATAAACCTATCATTTGAGACCGGAAGTGACCCTCAATAAACCGGAAATACCTAATATCTCCCTTTTGACAGGCAAAAGTATATAGAAACCATATATTTTTGGAATCAGTGTAATTAGAGCTATAATGTGAGACCGGAGGTGACTTTTTTTAACCGGAAGTTGACAATTATCCCCCTTATTTCAGTCAAAAATATATATAAAAAAATATTAATTGAATCAGTATATAAAAAACCTATGCTTGAACGCCAATAGTAACTTTGAGTTAACCGGTAGAAGCTTTTCATCAATAATTTAGAAAATTGATGTGGAAAGATCTTCAATTGTTCTCTGAACAATTGGTTTGTAAGTATTATTATTATTATTATTTAAGCAAATTAGAGTCATGGAGTTTCTACAGATGGATGAAAGTGCTAGACACATAAAGACATTTTAACTTGCTTACTTTTGATTTTTTCTCTTATTAATATTTAATTATATGCTTATACATTAACTTTTTTACCTATATGGATTTTAGATATATTTAAAATCTTGTCATATTTTATCTTATTAGGTTTCTATCTCATTAACAATTACAACAAATTTCATTTAATTCATAACACAAATAATGTGGTTCCCCTAGAGTGGGCCGGGTTTTCGTTGAAAGATAACTGTTTTGTAACAGTATGTTTCAGGATTTAGTTGAATCTAAAGATACACGTATGACATGGTTAGGGTAAGGATAAGGTTGAAGGTTTTTAAAGAGATATTTTTAGAAATAAAACATTTGTACTTTAATGCTTGCATAACAAGCCAATTAAACACTACTCTAACGAAATGCTCTTTCGGATATGTTTGAAAGGACATATCGGTGATTACCTATTTTAACAAAATTCAACAAAAATGCCTACCTCTCATTTTCATATTGCAGTTAATGAACTGGGTGATCATCTCAAAATAAGTAAATCGACCGATGCAATGCTGAGGTTGATATAATTTTAGGTGGCCAAGCGATCAATAAACTGCAAATTGGCTAGAAATGACTTGGACTGTTCGTTATGTCATACTTAACGGTTTCAGTTTAAAGTAAACAACACGGTTTGATTTTTACAGTGATTGCGAAAATTTATACTTTGAATCAATTCATATTTCAGTGTTTTACGCAAACGACACAAAAACTCTTCAAAACTCTTAAATTATCTTATTCTGAAACACATTGAAAGTAGAATATTTATAAAGCGTTCATAGTTGATGCCAAATTTTATTGTCTTTATTGATTAAAGAAAACGGTTTTGAATCCTTCAACACATTCGTTGATTTGATATATAATTGCAACGTTAATGAAGCACGGATATGTTCATAATCCCGTCTTCTTTTCCTCGATTGTGACTTATAACAGAAAGTTTACCAAGAGCAACACGACGGCTGCAACATGTGCAGCAGGATTTGCTAAGCCTTCCATAGCACATACAATTCCCCCTGTCTTTGTTGGGGTTCATGTTGTTTATAATTCAGTTTTCTAGATACTGTATTATAGACTGTTTTTTCGTAGTTTTTCGTTTTTTTACCATGGTTTTGTCGGTTTTTCAACGACTTATCAATTTTGGTTGTCCCTTTTGTATCTTCCTTCTCTTCCTGTAGTGTTTAATACGCAAACGTTTATTACAATTTCATTTTGTTAGTACTTAAACTTTTATATAACTTGACTATGTATGCACCTAAATTATTCAAATATTTCTTATCACCGAATTAGACTTAGATTATAACTTAATGTATATTTACAATGAGCTACACGACGGGTGCCATATGTGCAGTAGGTGAATTGTTTTCGCTTATTTTTGTGATGAACAGGGTCTCTATATTAAGTAATATTCATCTAGCAAATATTTAATTTTTCATCATACGATGACGCTAAAATTTAAATCATGAACACAGTAAAAGTATGGAGTTAAAACTTGAAATAGCTGATGCAAAACATGTTTTGTATTCATCCTATTATCTAGGCTTTCAAACTGTAATGTGCAATGTTTGATATAATACAAATTTGTATCAATCATTTCCTTATTGTAACGGTGTCATGGACATATTTTATTATTTTTATATTAGCTACAAGTGCAACAGGGTTCCAAATTTGATTTTATTGTCTAGACTACTGTTATGTTAATACCTAAATTTTAAAACAATGGTTTGTGATATCTTTGTCATTGTGACGAACAAATAGATACTAGTAATCTGAATAATACCATTTGTAATAAGATAATTACCTTTAACTTATTCAGGACAGGCTGGAGGTAACTATTATTCTAACAAAGGAGGAGGTTCAAACTACCTCTGTTTACCCAGTGATCCTGAAAATGGTGAAGCATACTCCTATAGTAATGATATACTATATGGTGCCGAATATAACATAAATTCCGGCACTAAACCGTCCGGCTTACCTGGTAGTTTGTTCAAAAAAGAGGTCCCATGTGCTGTGTGTAGGCGGAAAGAAAAATTTTCTGTTTTAATGATAGCAGGTAGTTTTGTTATTACCATGTTTTTTTATCATTACCTTAAAATTAAAAGAAATATTTTTTTTAAAATGGTAACACTATTCAACTAGATCGTAACATAATATTGTTGATTACAAGGTTCGACATGAATAAGGCCTTGAATTCACGGTATTATATAATGAATTGTTCTGTGTTATCGCAATCATTAATAAAGTATAAATGTGTTTTGATATAGAAATTGCATACATTTTATATTTTATATTTATAGTAATTTTACTTTTTTTCTAAATTAGGAAGGAAGTCCTGTTACAAAGGATGGCAGTCCGAGTACAGTGGTTTTTTGATGAGTGAACATAAAACTCACCACAGTAAAGACTTTATCTGTATAGACGGAAACGCAAAACCATTGGACGATCGAACATCCAGCGAAAATAGTGCTTTGTTTTATCCTGTTAGAGCAAAATGTGGTAGTTTGAGATGTCCCCCATACAAAGATAATACTGAAGTGCTTTGTACCGTTTGTACAAAATAAAAATAATATTATGTTCTCATTTGTTTACTTATTTCATATGTAACAGTTTACTTTACATGTTTGTCTACTGTACGTCAATTTAAAGTCAAACGTAGATCACAGGTTTCTATATCATATGAAATAAGTTTATGTATGCTGGTTTATTGATATTGAGGATAACAAGTAATGATTCTTCTGTTATTCTCGTTTTTATGAGAGGTACTCAGATAGGCATTTCAAGTTGTTTTAATTGTTGTTTTGTCTCTTGGGTATGTAATGATGTCAAGGAAAACTATCTAAAATAATAGATTCAATATCTCATGTTCGTTATGTTTTAGGAGGCCTCGGTGGCCGAGTGGTCTAAGTAGTAGAACTGCTGTGTCACTAGCCTGTCGACACTGAGGTTGTGAGTTAGAATCCGGCACATGGCAGTTGTGTTCGTCTGCAATCTTAATTGACTAGGATTTTCACTTCTTCTATCGAAGGTCTGTGGTTTTCTCGGGGCACTCCGGCTTCCTCCGCCAATAAAAACTGAACGCCACGAAATAACACAATAGTGCTGAAAGTGGCATTTAACACCAATCAATCAATCAATAATTCGTTATGTTATGTTGTTCATCAGAATTCATACTAATGACTTAATCATAAAAATAACACTTTATATATTTCGTGCGTCCGAAACGCGTTAGGGATTTACCTTCATCAGCAACGCTTTAACCCAGGCTTTTGAAAGCCAGGGACGTAAAAATACGTAGAAACGTAAGGAGCTTTACATAAGGTACATTAAAAAATAGCCAAATTCGGCTGTGGTCAACTTTGTCAGCGGGAGTTGGAAACTTAGTTTCTCAGTAATGTCTTAATATATCAACGGAAAATTTAAAAAGAATAAAAATGTTATAAAGCATGTCAGTATCGAAGAACTGACAACTTAGCTGTTGAAATCTCGGGGACTGACATTCAACAAGCAGTGGTATAAAAATTTGGTAACATATGATAAGCGCTTTGTCGTCTATTTGTCCCTCCCGTCCATGTGTCCTAAACAAACGGTTTCAATAACTTAAGTATCCCTTGCTTGATTTAACTGAAGCGTATATACAGAACAAACAGGAAGGAAAGAAAATGAAGCCTGTTAATTTGAGGATCAATAAAACAAGGCTATTATAGAAATTTTGTTGGCAAAAATTGTTTCCGTTTGGTAACCTGAGTTTTCCTTGCTTCATTGGAATGAAACTAATAGCAACTCTTCAACTGTTTCGGTTTTTACACATCCTTGGCTTTCAAATATTGTTATGTTCCTGGTGAAGGTAAATCCAGAAAAGCGCTTCGGACGCATGAAATTTATAACATGTTGTTTTCATTTAATACAAATATAGGGGGTGCAAAACACTCTTTTGATTGTTTGGGGAAAGAGGTCAAAGGTTAAGGGCACTGTTACTTGATATAGAAAAATGTAAAAATATGGTTTCCGTATCGTTATTTGATCACCTCCTGCATGATTGGAATTAAACTAATACAGATGGAAGCTGTACGGAAAGGAAAGAAGCCTGTTTATTTTGTAATCAAGACATGTCAAAGGTCAGGATCACTGTAACTAAAATGAATAAAAAAGTTGATTTCGGGATGGTATCACATTATGAATTGTAACAATATTTATACTGGTGAAAAATAAGCAATAATAGTACATTGTCTCTCAAAGCTTACAAGTATTTTGATATAAAAAAAAAATCACTCAATAGATATGCATTTTGTGAGCATTTTTCTCAGTGCCAGATTTTTATTTGTTTGTCATATGGAATTATAAACTCATCAAAGATACCAGACTTAAAATTTTTGCCTGAAAATCCGCAGTATTTCAAAAAATTCAAAGTTTTGTAAACAATTAATTAATAATTATGACAGTATCAATGATAATTCCTGTCAACACAGACGTGCTGACAACTTGGTGTGTAATACCTTATCTTTGAGTATGTTTTGATATAAAGAAGTAACCTCAAAGTTTTGTAAACAATTAATTAATAATTATGACCATATCAATGATAATTCCTGTCAACACAGACGTGCTGACAACTGGGTGTGTAATACCTTATCTTTGAGTATGTTTTGATATAAAAAAATAACCTCCTCTTAAAATGTTCAGTGATTATATAGGATCATAAACTTCATTTTTGGCGCAAACATTATTCAAAGATGAGTTATTGGTGAAAATTACATTAAAACGTTCAAAAATAAGCGTGACGTTGTAGAGATGTAAAGCGTTAAAACTATTTGTATTTAGTTTTTACACTACAAACGTACTAACAAAATTGTAAATGCATCAAAAACTAGTTTAAAGTTCATATAACATGTATAACTTAAATATCAATTAAACGGATATGTATCCATTAAATAAATTTTTCAGAGAAATCTATGGATTAGTTTTAGATATTTGATAAATATATATATGTATATATAATTAAAAAAAATCTTAATCCATTTTACATGTATTCCATTCGAATGTTCATCTCATTAAATATTGTTTCAGAAAATAAATGAAGTCAATGCATACTTTTTTTTCATTTCTCATATCAAGCTTAACATGCTGATGTTGTATACAAACAAATCGGTTTAATCACTCATTTATACTGTAACTTGACCTTAGAGTAAACTATAAAATTACGATGCCAATTTGAAATGTTACCTTCTCATACATTTTCTGATAGTTTCTGCTAAAAAAAAAAAAAAGAAATGTCATCGTCATATGAAAATTTCTGTTATTGCTATCAATAGAAAATAATCGTAACGTATATTTGCTGTATTCATTGCTATTCATGTAAATATATAGCTAATATTTAGTCTTTGAAAACTGTAATAAGTTGTAACAAATTACAGAGAATATCTCACAGTTCTCCTATTATTATCAATCCTCAATGCAGATATTCAGCTTATATATATATTTGATGCATAATCGTGTAATGATTACAGAAAATGTGTGATTTTTCTAGTTGACATACAATTTAAATAATCATATTTAATTGTGTAATGAGCAATAGATATTGTTACTGATTTCCTTGGAGTAAGCAAACCTTAACTTCTGACCTTAAAAAGGAGGGTGACGATCTGCTTTGTTATTTGATGTTTATAATTGTATTTGCTAGTAATAACTCCTAAATAAATTTTAAAATGGTTGGAAAAGTTTTGGCTTAGTTACAGACTTTACGCTAGTTATGAGGGATGGGAATTCTTTTATTACATTGCATATATGGTCAGTTAGAAGAAATTACATTCAACAAAAATCAATACGTTATACGTTTTGCATTGTTTTGTTTGTTTCTCTCATTAAAAATTACTGCTTCAGATCACTTGTGTAACTTTTACCAAAAATGGGATTCCGAAACGGTTTCAGTGTTTAAGGGCAAAACTGCAAATAAGCAAAAATGTACTTCAAGTGGCCTTTAAATAACATAAGCACTATGCTGTGCTTTAAACATTGAATCTCTAAAAAAAAGTGCAATGTGATAAAATGAAAATACTTACACTCGTATATGACTTCATGTTTATTTTGAAAATATTGCTAAAAATATCTATACATATAGTTATTGTAAAGAGACATTATTTATGAATTGCTATATCAATGTCTGAAAAAGAAAAAAAGCATTTGATTCGACCATTTTACTTTCATGAACGGGTTTCCCTTGAAGATATTGAGGGATATCTGGTACACCTTACTTTACTTTCGTTTGACCTATCAACCACTTTAAAATCAAATTGGAAATAACGGTGTCTTTTGTCGTTGTCAACAATCTTGTAAACATTAAGATAATATTTGGTTAATAGTTGTAGAGTGTGAAGTTTTTGGCCAGGTAAGAGTTGATTTTTAAAGAATTTGAAAACTTTTGAAAATTTAACCAAGAAATCAATAAAAAGTGTTTTTTACCAAAACCAAAAATCGACCGAGAGTCACTCCATGCATTGTCTATCAGATGAAAATATTTTAGTTGTTGTTACGAATGTCCTTCGATGCATAATTTCACTTAAATTTGGTTATATAGCTCATCAAGTCCTTCAGGATATGTACATACTTGGCTTTCCATTTTTTTTATTCTGACCGTTCTTGATGAAGGTTAATCAAGAAAAGTGCTTGGGACGCATCAAATGTATTAAGTGTTATTTTTCATATTACTCATTAAATCAGTTTTATTTTCTATTAAGTAAGGTTCTGGTGTCTTCTGTTTGAAATTAAATGAGATATTTAAATATTTTAAGCAATAGTATATGTCTACGAAAGTTCAAATCAATTCGGTTTTTCTGCATGTAAGCTCATGACAAATATCTGACCTGGAGAAACGGTTAGAATCTGTCTTTACATGATATACAAATCGTGGCCGAAAGATGTAACAAGTAGTTGTGGATTCTTCCCACGAAATGTGACTTAGTAATCAAATCAGATGCATTTTAGGAAGATGATTTGTCAGTAAGATTATGTCTTTTGGTTTTGACTTTTGACACAAAATAAGTTATTTGACCTTTAGCATTGATATGACTGAAGGCCAAACATCTCAAAATGTAATTGTCTCAATACTGAATTTCACAGCAGCAACTAAAATGCATGTATTAGTGCCGCCCTGTGGACATCATTAGTTTAATTTGTCAAATTATAATAACAGATTGTTCATGATGTTCGCAGCTCTGTTTCAAAATAACTAGCTTTCAAAAGACTGTTAGAAATTGATAGAAATAATTGAAAAGTACATGTCATTGTTTTTGAGATATAAAACATAGAAAATTTGCCGGGAAATGATTCTCTCTAGATTTTTCTTACAAAAGGTATGGAAAAACCACAAGGATACAAACAGATAACTCCGAATATCTGACAATCAGAAAACATCTTTAATCACTCATTAATAAGCAAAGTGATTTTTTTTTACATAATCAGTTTTCAACTATCAACAAACATGAACAGGACACATGATCACATGAAAACCGAGATAACGGATTAATAATCCTAGAACACGGATTGGTAATCCGAGATCACGGAATCAGAATCCTATATCATGGAT